ATTAAAAAATATACAATATAAAAGTAAAATTAATGTAATAAGCTCATGTCATTTTGCCAAGATATTGAACCAACAGTATCACAATAGTTACAAAATATATTTTGTATATACACAAAATTTGAAAGCAAACGCCTCTTTCGCCAATCTGAGCAATAACTGATTCCTGTTTGGCTTTCAAGTCTGTTTACCAAGTGAAGATGGCAACCTGGTTTCGTGGAATGGCATTCTGAGAAATGTTTCTTTTTGCGTCATGTTCCGCCTACATATGCGTACGTGATAGGCGTTTAAGAACACAATACGATGCAAAGTGCATCTAAAGAGCAAAACTAACCTGGAGGTATCTCAATACTCCAAATGCATTCTAAACTAACAACTAAGAGCAGATGCTATCTCTGGTCTTATACAATTCTCACCCAACCGTCGAGATATTTATAGTAGTTTCCGCTTCATGAAATTACTGGAGGGCATATGAATACGATTAGTTAAATGGAACATCAATTACAGTTATTCAATTACAATATCTATTACAGATACAGGGACTGCAGCAAAATGTCTCCATGTTTGGTGGCTTTTGCCGATTTTTCTAGAAAACTGGCAACAAAGATTAGTCGCCAAACCGGTTACCAGTTTGGCAATTTCTCGCCAAATTAGCAAGATAGCCATTCCTCAAAGTTAAATAGACTTGCCCCTGTATTCTTACTTTCCTGGCCCAGCATCATCTCTCTAAGATTTTCACGTTACATTTATTATACAGAAAAATACAACAATTCCACATATAACTGCACATAAATGAATCTGTCTACAGTGTCTCACAAAACTGATTGGCCACTACATTTTTTTTTTTTAATTTTATTTTTTTAAGTAACAGGAGAAAAGCTTTGAAATAAAATAAAAGCATATTTTCCCTTTTGTATTTATTTAAATTTGAAATTTATTTAAATTTGAAAAAATTAAATGCTGAATTTAAAAAATAACATTTCAGGCTGAAATGGAATAAAAAAATACCACAAAATTAATCGGACGTTTTCACAATTTCTGATTGAAACCATCTACAATAAATAAAAATGAAATTTTATGGTATTAGTTTGGATAAAGAAGCAAGGCCCAAATTTTAAAATTGTTTGTTATTTTAATTTTCTTTTTAGAAAATATTCATTATTTTAATGTTTTCTTGCAATGGCTCAGTCACAAAAGTAAACATCATTAGAAACCCACAGATTAATTACTGATTTGCCTCAAAAGAAAGAGAAACCTATTAGTAAAATTGCCTATTAATAATTACTATATTTAAGTAATTATACAGTTTTTGATATTATTAAGCATTATAAGAAAAAGAATCATATTCAAAACAAAAGAAGACCTGGATGACCATCTAAGTTATCTGATGGAATGAAAACCTTCATTTGTTGTGGAACTTTACGAACTATAAGGAATATGTGTAAATCCAGAAACTGTTTGAAGAGTAATGCGATCTGCAGGATATCGTAGGCAAGTCGCAAGAAGAAAATTTCGTCAGTAAACTGAAAATTCGCTTTCGTAAAATTGATGAAAGAAAAGACATCCAACTCCTGGAAAAACGTATTGTTTGATGGTGAAAGCAAATTTAACATCTTTGGCTCAGATGGACCAGTACTGGTGTGAAGGAAACCCAAAGAAGAATTTCGGAAGCAAAACTTAGTACCAAGTATTAAACATGGCAGAGGAAGAATTATAGTATGGGAATCTATGGAACATTAAGGTTTTGGTAATACAGAGTTTATAGATAATATTATGGATCAGTATAAATACCTTTACATCTTCAATATAAATATGGCATCATCAGCACAAAACTTAATATACAAAATAGTTTTAAATTCTACCAGGACAATGATACAAAGCATATTGTGCCCAATGTTAGATTATAGCTGCTGTAGACTCCAGAAGTAATTAAGGCACTACGCCCAATCGCCACATCTTAATCCTATTGAGCATATTTGGTAAGAACTGTAATCGAAAATTTGAAAACAGAGCACATCTTTGCTGCAGCAACTAAAAGCAATGATTCAAGAAAGGTGGCATAAAATAAATAAAAAATCCTCCCCCCTAAAAAAAAAACTTGTCAATGTCCAAAAGATTAAATGAAGTGATCAGGTGTAAAGGTAATCCCATAAGATATTAAATATCAAAAACATAAGTTTTTGTCCTTTCGCCTTTTTGACTGTTACTAAAAGTGTCCAATTATTTTTGTGAGAATATTTTTCCTCATTAAAAAACAATACTGACTTTTTTAATTGAATTTGGTTTTACAACAATCATCAGTTTCATAACTTCAAAGTTTCCTTTTTGTTTAAGTATCCAGCACCAGAAAGTTCAGCTTAACACAAGTTTAAATTTAATCCCCCCCCACACATAACAGTAAAAGTATTTGAAGAATGATACATCTTTCTGGAATTTGCTATGAAAATTATTAGATGCGTAAAAAATGCTTTGTTGTGCTTTTAATGTTCCGTGCAAGAATTTATTTTTACAAAGCTTATGCACAAATCTGAATACAGATATTCATTTTTTTTTTCCACTCTATAAGAAATGGCTTTGGCTTACTTAAGACCACTCACCTATAAAAATGAAGAAAATCGGCTAAACAGCTAGCACCAGCAAAAAAAGTATTTTTACAGTTCAGGAAAATATCTGATTATAAATTCCCCCGAGTAATGAGTAATTGTTTTCATTAAAAATATTTGGGTTTTTCAAAATTCCGTTCACAAACACTTGAATTCACATGACTGAAACCTGAGTTTCCTCCATATCATTTTTTACAATGAATATTAAAGCATAGTAAAATTCAGCTTATTAATAAAAGCTGTCAACTAATTAATATTATAAATAAGCTAAAAATATCAAAAATAATCATGTTACTCAAAATAAAACCATAGATAATGGATAATTTTTGTACTATTTATATCAGCACAAAAGTCACAGCAAGGCAAACACATCAATTTTAGCAGCAGAAAATCAAATTTTTAATATATATTTTTATATGCAAATAACCTCAAGCATTTAAGTCTGGGGAATGTTTTAAAATCAAAGTAGTCTCATACATAGAAATGGTTGATTGCATAACACCATAAACTGGGTCATATAGGATAATGATAGAACGTTTCCCTATTTTGGTCACTAGTTTAACATTACTAGAAGTTGTGCAACCTTGTAACAGCATTAATTTTTATGATACTAGAGAAGATTTTAGTACTTGTATGGAAATTCACCATTTTAGTAAAATGGGTTTTCTGAATTATTTGAATAAATATTTTTATTTTCTTCCATTGTCATAAACTGAAACTATGTTTGAAGCTTTATGAAAGCATCTAGGTAAAATTTGGGATCTTTTTACTCTAGTACTGACTCCACTTGTGGAAGAAGTGTTTATGCAGTTTCATAATTATGACTATTACAGATATATAGCAATATTGCAAGAGATTTAAATAATGTTTATGAAGGCTCCCTCTTTAAATTCAACTGCTCCAATTAAAAAAAGAAAATGTGGGCAAATTTCGAAAATTTTTTCTATACTTTTTAAAGTCGTTTCCTTTTACATTTCTATACAGTCCTACCAAAGGCACATGGGAACAGCCTATATAAATCATAGCAGTCAATATGCAAAAACTTGTCATCCATTTTTTTTTTTTTTTTTTTTTTTTTTTTTTTTTTGTGTGTGTGGTGTGTGTGTGTGTGTGTAGTGTGTAGCCAAAGTACCCATTATTCATTACGATACAAGGATACCTCAACATAAAGACTAAAGATGCATGGCGCTCACTTGTATCATGAAGAATGCAACCTTCATCAAGATGCCAGGATAATCATGGGGAGGTTCTTTATCTTAAGGAAAACAGTTACCAAGTTCATCTTTATACAACTTGGTGACTTGTATAAAGGACATCATTACCAAACCATTGGGCTGTTAAAAACATAAAAAAAATCCCTGCTTTTACATTACAGAGGGGGGGGGGAATTGATCCAACAGCTTTTAATTTTAATTTTCAATGAGCTAATAACAATGGGTTTAGTATGTTTATCATTAAGTTATGTACTTCCCCCCCCCCCAGTTGCAGTGGTATGGCCACTGGTGGCTCAGGAAATTTCCGAAATCCTTGACGGCTCCATTAAACCTTGAATCTTTTTACTTCATAATTAAATTCTCTTTTAATTAAAATTTGTATATTAAAATGTATTTGTTATTCAGCCTGAATATTTCTCACAAGATTAGAATGTTATACAATTAGTTCAAATTTTAGCCTCGCAAATTTAAAGTTTGAGGTGCAAAATTTAGGAAATAAGAGAGAATACCACAAATTTATTTTTGCCCAAAATTACTGTCTGTTAACAAATTGAGCATGGTTCAATACTGTGATGGTGAAATTAGTTTCTATTTTTTCACATGCAAGATTTTTTACCATTTACACCTTCTCTCATCTGCCTCAAAACATCAAGATAAATGCCTCATAGACTTCTCTATCTGACCTGAAGAGATGACTTCTTTGAGTACAATATCATGTCTTCCTTTCCCAAGAAAATATCAACATTGAATTTTACTCCTAGGGTGGTTCCCTTCAACATCACCCTGATCTTCGAAAATCTGCGAGACAAATTATGATATATCTCACTTTGGCTAAATCTTGCTGTATACTACATGCATTTCTCTAATTCAGGATGTTAATACTATATTGAAAACTCTACAGGATGTTATTTGGAGCATAAATATAGAATACTGTAATTTGGAGCATAAAGGGTCTACTTCGAAGGAAACACAGACCTGACTGAATTCAGGTAAGTTTTCATTTGGGTAATTTTGTCCAATATCTCTCTGAGCAATATAACATTTGGTCACATTAGTAATACTTTTTTTTTTTTTAAATAAATTACACAAAATGAGGAAATAACATAAAAAAATAGTATAAAAATTAAGCATTGAAAACTTGTAACCATATATTTTATTCCATAACTAATAAATTTTTAAATACTACCTGAAGGAATTTTATGCTCTTCATCGCTTGTGCAACTTTCTTTACCATTGAAACGTTTGTAAAACTGAAATGTATTAAACATAGATTTCACATTAAGTTAAAAAAATATTTAAAGCAGTTTATGAAATAATTATCACTTGTATGTATAGGGCTGCCGCCAGAGCAGTGCAACTGGTGCATCTGCACCAAGTGGCAAAATTTAGGAGTGGCAAAATTTCTAGAATTTAGAAAAGGCACTGGGGAGCATAATTTAGCACTGGCAAAATTTTTAGAATTGAGGAAGGCAGCAGGCACCAGAATTTAGGACCCACAGAAATTGCACTAGGTCACAAAATGCCTATTGCCTGCTCTATGTATGTATATCAGAAACTAATACAATAACCATCAAAATATTCTGAATATTTATACCAGGCAAAATTTATAATACCCAGGTGTCCAGAAATTTAGGAAAAATTAGAAAATTTGAGTTAAACAGGAGAAATATTTTTTTTTTTTTTTTTTTAATTTTGATGAAATTTGAAGAATCCATGAAATATATTTCCAATTTTAAAATGGCATAAAAAATTTACATGTGAGAAATATCTTTGATAAGAAAATTAACATGTAAAAAACTTATCCAAAATGAGATAGCATATAGAACAGGAAAATTTTTCACTACTGAATATGTCCAAACTATACAGAAAACCAAGCTGTGATGCTCCATGTTATTTATGGTGCTATCATCCAGCATTGGCTTGTACACAATACTGAAAATGTATGATGATGAATTTATGCAGTTCTCTGATTACACAAAATCCAAGTGCTGTATGCATAGGAAAAAAAAAAAAAAGAGAGATGTCTAAAAAAAATAGTATTACTACTGATGTTTCTTGCTTTCTAAATTTTATTAGCTAACTGCTCATGTGTGGACTCTTAGGACACCGCCATTTTGAATTCAGTGCTAACAAATGTTACCACTTGTCACATGCACGAAAAGTTATACGCTCACTGACAGACATGTTATTCTAAACATGTCATAATATCCCTCACAACAGTATCTTACCATCTTTAAAATAGAAACTCTACTCTGCCTTAACAGTCTCCTTTATAAAAATGGATGAGATAATGGCAGGTATCTGATTCACTCTGCATTGAACTAGACTTCTTTCTCAATCTACACTAAAATCTGAGTTACATATAGTACTAGCACTCGTTAATCTAGAAGTGGGCTTTCAAATATGCTCAATTCCCTTTACATGCAACTTTGCTATAATTTAGCCACTTCTTACTGTGACTTAAGATGCAGATGTATACAGAATCACATACCTAGCTAGGGTAGCTACTGTTTCATATTATAAGGATGTCCCATTTCATAAGAATTCCTGAATTTTTATACCATAGTCTGTCTCTTATGTTTTTATTTAATCTGGGAGATAATTAATCCAAATGGTTTTTATTCACTTTCAACTTGACTTAAATAATCACAATTTATATGATAAATTTTTAAAAATATACTTAGCCCACTCCTCCCCCCTAAAAAAAGTCAATTGATAGCAATACTGTAGAAAAAATGAGTATCTCTGATGACTGAGGCAAAAGTCAAAGCAATTAAGATTCTTAACAGCATAAAATTAAAGAAAATTCATAACAGCATAAAATTAAAGAAAAAAAGTTTTGTTCTCAACACACCAGCAATATTCATATGGAATAACTTTTTTTATAATGGATAATAAATGTCTGATAAATTGTAAGAAAAATGAATTGTAAATTACAGATAATTTTAATTTTAGTGGTAATTTTAATTTAGAATTTGTAGAATATAAAGAATAATCAGGTCATAAAGAATACTTAGTGTTAATTTCAACCTGTTGCTGCTACAAAAAAAGCTTTAAATAAAGCCATGTTTGTTTTTTAAAAACTGTAAATTGTTAGTTAGCCTGATATATTAAAACTATTTTACGAACTTATTATTATTTTTATCATTATTGCTCTTTAAATACATTCACAATAGTCATGATGCTGGATCAAAGCCTCCCTTCACAAAGTTGGTAGCCTTATGACTAGCATATACAAACTTCCTCCAGAACATAACCGTCAAACAACTGAAAATGCTACCACACATAGGAGTTCTATAATATACAGAAATGTAGTTTGATTTGTAATTAATTAATGATATATATAATTGGTTCTTATTTATAATGGAAAGTTATCTTCAGCATGTAATTTTCTAAATGTTCAAAGGATGAATTAGAAAACTCTACATTACACTTTCAATAGCCAATTTTGTTAATAAAAAATTTTTTGCTGCTCAGAACTTTTTGAAGTCAAAAACTTTGAAAATATCAGAAACATATATATATATATATATATATTTCGTTTGAGAGAAATACCTGTAAATAAATGCACTTGGCATTGAAAGACTGGGATTTAGTCAAATCATGGGCTTGAGGAACATGCTCGGTATTTAGCAGTATCTGACACAGCAAAAAGGAGTTTTACGGAAGAAATATCTAAAATTTTATTACAGATCAGCAATGTTAAATAAAAATTTATGATATAATTTCAAAGGTACACAAATTTTATTTCAAGTTCAATTTAATGAAATATTATCCTCAACATTGTCCCTGGTAAAAGAATTAATGATGCTACTTTCATGTCATACTGAGTGGCATGAAGAGGCCTTTAGTTATCAAGTCAAAGAAGTGCCTGCCATTTTGACTATAGTTTGACCATCTCAAACACAACCTTGGCTGGCATTCTGTAAAACACATGAACTCGTCGAAAAAGGGCATTATTGCTTGCTGTGCCATGAAAAGTCACATGAAAGTCTTGTCTTCTCTGGAAAGAAAAGAATTATGCACGAGAGAAAGAAATTCCCCGTCCTTCCACCCTATTTTAAGAATAAATCGATCCGAATGGCTCATGCGTGTTTGCACTCATGGTCGTGGATGAAGCAGTCAAACTGTAAAAGCTTTGAAACCACTTTAATCTATCACAATTTAGTCAAAGACAACATTTTAGTCACACAGGATGGAATGTAAGGGTCTAACACCAGTTTTTTCCTACACCTACTTACCTGTAAAGACAAACTATAAATGAGAAAAAATCATAACTTATTCTAGATTCAAAATCAAACCTGTAAGTGCAGCAGCCAGTCTTTACTAATCATCACGCTGTTCATATATGCAAAAAATTTCATTCATTTCATAAGTAAATTATTATTAGTAGAGGAATTTTTTGTTTCATAGATACCAATATACAAAATTTCAGTTTTATATATCTTGGCCTACACACCTTAAAAAAATCTAATACCTGGTTCTCTATCAAAGAAACATGATAAGGTATTTTCTCCCTCCTTCCAGCACACCTTCATGACACAATGGTAGCACACTTGGTGTGTATGCGAGAGGTCTAGGTTCGATCGAGTCCCGGTGAGGGCACTGCACATTTTTCACATCTCCTACTTCAAATAACCTAATAACTCTACAGTGGCAACTGAACTAAAAGGTAGTGGACAATAATTCATCACCACCAGGGTTTTGCAACTAAGTCCCCTAATTTCCAGTCACCCTTTAAAAGGGGACATATATACAGTCAAAAGTCGTTAATCCGGACTCGTCGGGGCTTCGGCGATTCCGGATTATAGATCATCAGTTTAAATCTGGTAAGATGGCATGCAAAAATTATAAAATTAAAAATATGAAACCGTAATTTATGAAATAAAGAACAATTATGATCTAAAGGGTATCAAAATTTACAAAAAAAAAAAAAAAAAAAAAAAAGCTTAATATTTATTTGTTTACTTTATTAAACATTTCTTTCAATGTAAGTTGTTTAAGTTGCTTCGTTTTTATGTGATAATACTTTCTCTTTAATTCTATTAAACAGACATAATTTCTTGTTCAGTTACAAAGTTCCACTGTTCAAGTCCTATAATTGCTGTGTTGAGAATACCGACTAATTTGTCAATCAAAATTTTTTCGTTTTCAATAACCTCTGTGTCACTTTCTTCACTATCGGAAGCGAATTATAATGATGAGGAACTTGATTTAAATCATATCAAAGACGGAGTACATCGAGATGAAATACTACATTTAGTAAGGAATTATAAGCCAAATAAAATAAAAACATCTGCCCTGAAGATAAGGATAGTGCTGACAGATCAACTTCCAATTCATTGCGCGCTGCAGCGTGAAATTGATAAACAGATTTCGGATTTCAAAACATATTTTCGCTTTGTAGATCCTTTACATATTAGTAAATATATATCGGAAATTCTATATGACATAATCGAAAGTTCAAGCTTACTTTTATAAAATTGCTCTAACAGTCTGCAAAAAATAATAAGCCGGATCCAATTCGAAGATTAAGGAACAACGCAATCTGCAACATTAACTGAATTAGATAATTTTAGCTTAGCTTATATCGTCCGTTACACATTAAACACGCAAGCGCAAATGCATATTCGCAGCCGTAAAGGTCTTACGCGCACTCGTAAAACGGCTATGCGCTTGCGTGAACACGACGCATGTGCAGAAAGTTTTTAGCTTTGAGGTCCGGATTATAGATCATTCCGGATTATGGGTGTCCGAATCAACGACTTTTGACTGTAATGCATATTCTCCCTCCTTCCAGCAAACCTTCATGGCGTACTGATACTTGGCGTGTATTCGAGAGACTCAGATTTGAGTCCCAGCAAGGACATTGCTCTTTTTTCATGTCTTCTGCTGCAATAACCTAATGATTCCACACTTTCATAACCATTGCCCTATACTGGCATTAAACAATTAGTTACATAAGCATATTCCATTCTTACAATAAATTATTTTGTTTCTACTGCTATTGCGACTATCAGCATTCTCTGTAAAATCTACATTTCTATTTAGTACAATCACTGGAAATATTAAATTTGAACTTCAAAATATTTTACATAGGACTCTCACTTCATTAAACATTAGCCAAGTATGTTGAGATAAGGCATAGTTGCATAAAGTCATAAGGAAATTAAAAAAATATATAATAGAAATAAAAAATATAGAAATAAAAAAATAAAATACAGAAAAAAAGAGTAGCAGAAAGAAGAAAAAAAGGATGAGAGAGAAATGAAGAGATGGTGAATTTTAGATATGTTGATAGAATTTTGTGACGGGGAAGAAGAAATGATATTAAAAAAGTAAACAGAATTCAGGGAGACTGGGTTTACTTGGGAGAACAAAGATTATGAACTTTGAATCAGCCTAGCAAAGGATGCTCAATTGAACTGGCTTGTTATTATGCATGTGTTTGAGACTATTCCAGATGTTTATTGTGTGATGGGGAAAAGGTAGATATGTTCCAATCTACTAAGTTTTATAGAGAGACTGCTTCCTGGGTGCCTTTTAAGTTTCCAGTTTGTGATGATCTAGGGTTTCTGTTCCTGATTGTGACAATAAGATGAGTAAAGCGATACATTTCAATCTATCATGCCAGATGTAGTGACTGTTTTCAGTGTGTCATTATAACTTAATGGTAAATTTAATTATGCTTTTACAGCCTGCTATTTCAGATGATGATTCTCCAATCTCCTATATGAGTCAAATGAACTAAAAGAGAAGCAGGACTTTTTCTTTTTTTTCTGTAACAAAGGATTGATTTAACTTAAATATGTCCAGGCTGCTGAAAGGAGGTCGCAAGTAAATCTCACCTCCTCCTACAACATAACAATTATTTGACAGTTTTAATCAAAATTTTGTACAAAGTTTTAAACTTAAATGTTTGTAAAATGACCATTCATTGTGTAGAGGGTAATTTGCTACTTCAGATTTTCCGAAGTTATTTTAATCTAACTCAGTTTGACGTTTTATCAGTTTTAAGCATACAAAACAAAGCTTAATCTGAAATATTTGTAAATAGAATGAATACTTCTTGAAAAATATTAAAAAATTATATTTGTAAATACGTATGTTTTTCCAAGTTTATTGGTCTACCCTAATTGCAATCTTAAGAAATCAAATTTTTTTTATCAATTTGAATTTAATATATTTACTTTTTCTTTTATAACATTAAGGCTAAAAAAAGTAATTGATAATAAAGGATTTTATTTCTTAAATTTTGTGATCATTTTAGGATTTTAGCATGACAAAATAAATTCAGCCATAAAAATACATAAACTATTTAAAAAAATAAGCTGCTATGCACAGTCAAAGCAAGATGAAGTCTGTATTAAAAAAGAAAATAAAGCTAAATGAAAATAAAGCAGAAAAATTACTTTTTTTACCCCCTAACATAGTTGCAGCATTTCACAAATAAGCAAATGTATGATGTTATTTGGTAACATTTGCTATCAAAATGTTTATATTCTGATTTAGTAGCAGATTATATAACAAAGAATTCACATAAATATGTTACAAATAAGCTACAAACGCATAACAATTTTTCGTACATAGCAAGTTATATGAAAAGAATTTACATAAATATGTTATAAATTAGCTATAAACATGAAGAAAAACTTTTCATACATCATTTCATATGGGTAAGTATACAATTTTGAAATACAACATACACTTTATTTAATTCATCATTAAGTTATATTTTACTTACCTTACAAGCTTCTTTTGCACTTTCTGGGTCATTAAATTCTACAAATGCAAAGCCTTTTATTTTATTAGAAACTTTAAATCTAGGGATGTTAATATAATCAACTGTGCCAAAACGTTCAAATATATTTCTAATCCACTGCTGGTCACCATGTGCTGGAAGTTTTTCAACATACACAGTGCAAGCATCAAAGTCTTTAGACGACTGCACAGGAGTAATTCTTCTAACTTTTTTCCCATCACTGCTCACCTAAAAATAATAATAATAATAATAATAATAATAATAATAAAAGTTACATTGGTAAAAAAAAAATTAAAAGAAAAGCTATACAGTCAAAAGTCGTTAATTCGGACACCCATAAACCGGACCTCAAAGCTAAAAACTTTCTGCGCATGCGCCACGTTGCCACATGCGCACAGGCATTTTACGCGTGCGCGTAAGACCTTGACTACTGCGCATATGCGTGTGTGCAAGTGCAGAATACGTTTTCGCCTTCGCGTTTAATGTATAACGGACGGTGTAAGCTAAAATTATCTAATTATCTATTTCAGTTAATGTTGATGATTGCGTTGTTCCTTAATCTTCGAATTGGATCCTGCTTATTATTTTTTGCAGACTGTAAGAGCAATTTTATAAAAGTAAACTTGAACTTTCGATTATGTCAAATAGAATTTCCGATGCTGGAACTTCCAAAGGATCTACAAAACGAAATTATGTTTCGATATCCAACAAACAAAAAGTGGAATTGCTGCAAAAAATGGATAAAGACATGAAGAATGTGACAGAGAGGTTAGTGAAAACGAAAAAATTTCGATTGACAAGTTAGTCGTTATTCTCGGCACAGCAATTAACGGGACTTGAACAGCGGAACTTTGTAACTGAACAAGAAATTATGTCTTTTTATAGAATTAAAGAGAAAGTATTATCACATAAAATGAAGCAACTTAACAAATTACATTGAGAGAAATGTTTAATAAAGTAAACAAATAAATATTGAGCTTTTTTTTTTTTTTTTTTTTTTTTTTTTTGTAAATTTTGATACTCTTTAGATCATAATTGTTCTTTATTTCATAAATTACGGTTTCATATTTTTAATTTTAGAATTTCTGCATGCCATCTTACGAGATTTAAACTGATGATCTATAATCCGGAAAAATCGATAATCCGGAATCGCCGAAGTCCCAACGAGTCCGGATTAACGACTTTTGACTGTATTTATTACCACAACAGATATACTGAACATGTTATTACAGTATTTTTCAGCTTGTTTTGTGCCAAGCATTCCTTTCACCATTTTAGAAAGTCATTCCTCCCGATTTCTTTCCAAAGCATGAAAAATACATAGCTATAGTTATTTAGACTTTAGATTATTTTTAATGCATTTTATAAAATCAAATAACAAAAAACATAGAAAATGGTGATTAACACAAAAACTTGAAATAAAAGTAGCTCTTTAGGTACTGTTACGTAAAAATACAGCTGATAGTATCAGGATCAAATTCAGAAATGGATGTATGTATATATATAAACATGAATGTATGTGTGTGTGTATACATGTATACATAAATGCACATACATATATACGTGCATACATTCATGTACACTGCTCAAAAAAAAAATGGGACAGTGCTATATCTCGCGTTCTACTGGGGCGATTCACGAAATTCAAATTGCGTTCTTCATGTATCGAAAGCGAGACTTAGGATATATATTAGATTTATATATAGCACTATTTTAACATAGGTATTTTGACACAAAATCAGACTTTTTCTGAAATAACATACCAATTTTTTTACATATTTCGATTCTATGACTCAAATTATGCCAGAATACCAAGTTTTGTAAAAATCGTACAAGTAGTTTTTAAAATATTAGCTCTCAAAATTTTAGCTCCTCAATGTTAATAGAATTTGGCAAATATTTATTAATATCTCTTTTTTTATTAAACTTTTTTGATTTTTCCTTTCACATTTCGAAATTTAGGTTCATTCCAAATAAAATTTACCTATTTTTGGGTTCTATTTTTTTTTAAATTTCTATTTTTAAAATTTTTTTATAAATTTTTCGAAAAACATTTTGAATTATAACCCATAAAATTTTTAGCATCATCTTAAAGTAGGTGTATTTCTAAGCATATCTGCAAAAAATTAGACTTTTTTATTCAAAATTTTCTAAGATATACACGAATTCACATATTTTCGCGTTTTGAAATTTGGCATCATTTTTTTTTTTTAGCGATAATAACGTCAAATATGGTCTATGGATTTTTGTCACAGCGATTTGCCACAGCTATTTTTAACCTTAAATTTCAAGTAAATTTTTACGGAGAATTAATTATATGACATTTTTTCCCTCGATGCATAATAAATATTTATTAATACTATATGGAAAAGCTATTTTTTTAAATTATAGATATTATTCAAATTTTAACTATTTTTTTAATTTCTCTTTTTTTTTTTTTTTTTTTTTTTTTTAATAAAGAGTAAATTTTTGTAAGAGTTCAATTTTGACCTTTGGCGTTTTAACGTCTGCTGCTACTTTACTTCGTCTTAAATCGAATTGTCTAAAACTGAGAATTTTCGTTTGATGTTTATTTGAATTTTATGACATTAACTGCATAATTTATTTCTAAACAAGCTGTTGCTTATGAAGTGGCTGAAAGAGTGGCTGATACTATCATCCATAGTTTTAAAGCACAGTATATTTTTATAGAAACATAAGATTTAGAATAATCATTTTTATAAAAGTCAAATTATAATATAAACATACAACCCTTCTAGAGACCGAATTAATGGAAGTTCAATGGTTATGTAGAGAAATGATCTGCAGCTACTTAATGGCTGGATAAGTCAGCAGGTTCTGTGACAAGTAAGAATAATTATATAAACGAACACCCAACATTCTGGATTCAATTAACAACGAGGATACGATGTTTATTAAATGAATTTAAGAAGTTTTAAACATAAAAAATCAACTCATTTTTTATCCTAAAATGTATTTTGTGCGTAGCGTATTTTCATTATATCCTTAAAAATTCTAATTTAGAATGTAATTGTCAAGAACTGAATCCTAATCATCAGTAATATAATAAGTAATTATTACGGTTATTAATAAATCCTTCTTATAAAGTAATTGCAAATATTTCAAAAAACTTTCTGTCTGAATGCAAATATTTTTCTATGGAAATATTTTAATTTTATATTAATCAAGATTGCACACGATATTATTTATTTGCACTTCAATTCTTACCGTCAGTTCTAGTAGAAGTTACAAAATCAATTATATTTAATTAAGGATTGGATTGGATTATTAATTATGGCGAGGGCTATCTGCCTAAAGGGAGGGATGCCTTCGTGGAGGACTTTCTAAGGGAAAACTGGCTCGTATACACGTTACACATGGGGAAAAACCACGAAAAAACCCATGCAGCCAGCCCGTTCGGGATTCGAACCTCGACCAACTACCAGTGTTCAGCGTCTTTACCGCTCGGCCGTTGGTGGGCTATTTAATTAAGGAATGACCATCTAAGTTTAGAAACAGCGTACCGTAACAGCAATTCAATTATTGGCGCCGTATCTTTCATGTTACTCCCGATTGGCAAGCTACATGATTTTTAATGAGTATTCGGGTTTTGCTAGTAACTTCACTTGGAAATCGCGCTTAAAACTAGGTTAGTTGGTTATTTGAACATAGAAAGAAACATGGGAGCTATTTGATTAAGATGCTTTCATAGAGAACCTTTGTAAAGAGAACCTAGAAAACTACGAAAACCAACCATGCAGCCTGGGTTAGACTTCGCAACAAACAATTAGTATTTAACAATCTTCAACATTTAACTGGCAACTGGTGAAGATTTAAACTGAAGTGTTTAAATCCAGTGATATTAGGTTTGTCTTACAAGCTCAGGATCAAAACGATTCTGCAATTGCCCGAGTAGTTGACTTGTAAATGGCTGTGAATTAAGCAGATGACTTTTAATCTTACGTTTTCAGTCAGAAAACGTATTCCAAATGTTTTGTATTGCATGACAATGCATCTTTTCATTATTCAATAACCAATCGGAGAACCGCTTGTGTTCCGAAAATAAGTATGTGTACTCAATCGTCCTGCATGTTCTTCAAATTTGTCTTCTTGTGATTTTTTTTCCTTTCCCAAAAACTAAAGTTGCCTCTCAAAGGAAAGTTTTTTGACATTGAAGAGACAAAAGGAGTATGACATCTACTTTTAGAGGCATGTCAAAAACAGATCTCTACAAGCCTTCTCTTCCATTACATGTTGTGCATTCAGACAAAAAGTTGCATCAGCGTAAATTCTATAATCTATTTTTATTACACTCTGATTACTTTATTAACATACAGTGAATATATACTAAACCTTTTACTTCAGCTTCAGTAATTCGGAATTTTTGACGGAATTGTTGTCGGAACTAGGACTTGGAAGATAAGTCAAATTGAATATTTCGATAATCCAATAAATTCAAGGTCGAAGTTTCAATATTTTATTTTCGGAGGGAGGGGAAATTTTTTCAGTTTTGGTCCATTATCCTAAGTATATTTGCTTCGATTCTTTATTTTTTCCATAAAAGCGAAAAAATTAACGCATAGCTTCAAATTAAAATTTAATAATATACAGGGTGGTTATAATTAAAGTTCCACATTGAAACGGTCATAAAAGGAAAACTACTGGATCAAATGTTATCAAACTTGGTAATCGTGTGTAAAGGAGGTCATGGGAATTTATTTTTCCGCGAAAAAAAGGAAGTTCGAAACCTCACCACCAGGGGGGAAAAAATGGCGCTGTATGCAATATTGTTAAACGAAATATGGGTCGGAATCTAACTTAACCTTTTGTTACACGGGTTTAATATGTTGTATACCTTAAGAAACTTTGAAGTAGGCAAATTACCATTTAAAAGCGTTAAATTCGATAAAAGTCGAGTGCGCCATCCGTGTAAGTGAAAAATTCGTCCGTGAAAACCACGAATTAGCGATTAGAAAATGTGAGATCGCAAATCACTCGCACAAGTGCGTACAATCTGGAAATCGTTTTCTTACAGATCGCTAATTTGTAATTTTTGAAGCCTGAATTCGGCCCTAAAACATGAAGATACTGATTCAAAACGCTTTTAATCGATTTGGGCCAAAGAAAATCCCTCATGTTATCTACCTAGTTCCATTGCATTCTCCTACTGCATTCGATTGCATAGCAGTCATTCCACACCGTTTGGTGTGGAATGACAGCTAGTTTCATAACTGAACCATTTTTCTCTGAAGAGCAGTCGACAGCTGGACCACTGTGATTGCAGCTCGCTTAGAGTCAATGTTAAAATGTTTCGTGATACATGAACTGCAGTAACGTGGCATTTTAGATACTACGATTTTTATGCAGGGCTGGGCCCCACCTCACGTGTGTCGCACAGTTACTTAGGCAACATTTCACGAATGAACGTCTTATAGGCCGACACTTCCCTCTTCCCACCAGACCTCAACCTCTGTGACTTTTGGCTATGGGGTTATCTCAAAAGCACTGTTTATGGTGATAATCTAAACAATTTGGCAGAAATGAAAAATGTGATACACTGACATGTCCGTAACATTCCTCCTGATATGCTAAGAGCTGCTGTTGAGAATGCAGTAACAGGATTTAACTTGCTTTCGGAAAATGCTGGACGCTACATTGAACATGCTTTGTAACACGTTTCGGAAACTATTAAACACATTTTAAACAGATGTTTTCATGTCTTATTTCATTTAACAATATTGTATACAGCGCCATTTTCCCCTGGTGGTGAGTTTTTGAACTCTTTTTTTTTTTTTTTTTTTTCCGCGGAAAATAAATTCCCATAACCTCCTTTACACGATTCCCAAGTTTGATAACATTTGGTCCAGTTGTTCCTTTTATGACCATTTCAAATTGGAACTTTAATTATAAACCAAAAACATGTAAATTAAACTTTAAAAGTTTGACAGTTTGGTTCAAGTCCCAGCTTAAAAATATTTATATAAATATAATCTTTTTATAATCCTCTTAGAAAGAATGTTTTA